GCTTACAGATATGCTTGACACGTCTTGTGTTTCATCTCCATTCTGAAATCTGTCAGCAGTCCTGGAGGTAGGGTGATGGGAGGAAAGGGAGAGAGAGAAAAAAGAAACACAGAGAGAGGGAGAGACGAGGTGAAAAACAATACAGGGAGGAAAACAAACTTGTTCGAGTCGCGAAAATAAACAAGGGATTTTATAAAGATAGGAAGTGACGAAGGACGGTTAAAGTGGGAATGGCTAACGCATCCATTAGAAAACCATACAGCAAAATCCATACAGTTAGCACGTCACAAGTCGAAGGTTACACTCAGTAACACATATTTTAATGGCTACACACAATATGTTAATTTTAACTGCTCTACACAGTAACGCAAGTAACAGAAAGTATTGTAAACGGCACTCATATACAGAAGTAGAAAGATAGAAGAACAGTAACGCAGCATATGTTGAATGGCCCACATATTCTTATACAGATTATTTCATCTAATTGTGTCTCTTCTATCAGCATTCATTCATAAATGGTCTTCAGAATGCCTCCACTGTCCACTGGTACTGCTTTTGTAGCAAGAAAATCAGCTTATTTTTTTCCTGGCACTCCTACGAAACCCGGATAGTATATCCTCGCCGAGTTCCTGTAATGTTGATGTGCTTGGCATCAACTCATACCTTGCTTGTCCATTTTGAACCTTCCGCAGTACCCACTGAGAATCAGATACGATAATGCCTCTGGCAACAATATTTTCAGCTATCTACTTCAGAGCTGCAATAACGGCCTCAACCTTCATTCTCGCGCTTGAAGCTGTAGATAAAAAAGCAACATTTCGTTCTGCCACGATCTTAACCTTCACTCTAGATGAAACTCTACAGCAAGGTCTTTCCTCCGTTATAAACATAACCATCGTTGTACACTACTATTTTATCTAGCCTAGGTTTTTATCCATCAGTTGTTGTACATCTAATTCTGCAATATGCTCACATCAGAGAGAGAGAGAGAGAGAGAGAGAGAGAGAGAGAGAGAGAGAGAGAGAGAGAGAGAGAGAGAGAGAGAGAGAGACAACATCATTTTCTTCTCTCTTAATTAACTGGAGGATAGAGGTGTTTGTGTAAAGGCAGACCAGATCTTACACCTACGGTAGGATGTTTTGAAAACCCCCAGTTTGTTGCCTGGCCCCATACAAAGGCAGCGTGTTTTCTAACCAAACATGTGCTGCCCCTGTCAGCAAGTGATGGTAAACAATTGCCATATCTCCCTACTCAAATCGGACTGTTTTAAATAACACCCCCCCCCCCCACTCCTTCTTCTCTCTCTGTGCAAGTGTGTATAAGAGTCTGTAAAACAGTGTTCCTCAACCTTTTGCACACCGGCGGCCACACGAAAACAGGAGAAATCGTTTTCCAAACAATCCGACATTTAATAAAACACAAACATAAAATTGACGCCTACAACGTGACACTCGCTTTGCAGGACTCACATAGCACATGCACGAGTTAGTGTCCTTACTCCCAGTACAGACTGCATAACCGTTGGGTGCCTTAATATTACTGTTTTAGGCGGCTTTCAAGGGGTTTCCAGAATGTGTGCCTGTTTGAGGTGTCTTTTAGGTGTTAACCATACAAACAGCAATCCTGGAAAAGAATAACTACCTACCCTACCCTGTTACATGGTTAGGAAGAAAGTGTTGGTGGCCGACAGTGGACTTTTCCATGGCCCAAAAGGTTGAAGAACACTGGCATAACACATACATTTCCTGCTCATTCTCTCCTGCCTTTATGATGGTCGACCCTTGCCTCTTCTTCCAGAAGCAAACCCACCATCACTGTTCTATACCCACCCATATGGCATTTAATAGGGCAAAACTATTTCAGTTGACAAGAAACAATACTGTTTATAAGTCAGTCCCCACTGATATTTATACAGTGAAGTCTCTGTGTGGGTTCCAAGACCCTATTTATCATTAACAATTAGGGATGTTCCCTTTGAAGTCAGAGTGCATTAGCCAGAGAGTATCGAGCAAATAACATTACACTGTTTGGGAAACTGAAGTCTTCAAATCTGTTGTTGAAATTATTCTGAGGCTTTTTTAAAATAATTCTGACATTTGATTGGTTATAACTGCTGAGTCCCATGACGAAGAAATGAAATCTTTTAGGTTTGGAAAGTAAAGAAGTTTTGCTGTTTAGAAATCCATTACAAATAAAGACAGCTTATCCTGAAAGGTGTTAAATTGTTCCAACAAGATCTATGATTGTTCTGTGTCTTCCTTACAGCTGCAAGTTCAGTGTTCAAATGAGCAAACAAATCGTTTAAAAAATAAACATGTCCCCAGAAATGTAACACTTTTCTATAATTTTCTGCCTTGTTAGAAGTTTCAAAGAAAACATATTATTTCTTCTTTGAGACTACAAAATGAGCAAGTGCTTTTCCTTTACTCAGCCAACGAATGTCACTGTGCAGAAGTAAGTCTTTCAAAGCTGCTTACGTTTCTTTAAGTAACTGCCGAAACAACCTGTGCTGAAGACTTTATGAGAATACCCTAGACAGATTAAATAAGTAATGAAGACGTCTTGAAAAAACTGACTAACGAAGAGAACTGATTGCCCACATCAGAACGAGACAATCTAACCTCTTTGGTCATGTGATGAGAAAATTGGAAAACATTGCAACGGTAGGAAAGTTGGAGGGGAAGAGAGGCAGAGGGAGACTGAAAGAACAGAGGTTTGACATCATGGCATAGAGGATCATATGTGTCAGTTGAACGAAAGTACATGGGACATTAGGTTGTGGATACGACATGACTACCAACGCCACACAGCATGGATTTTAAGAAGAAAAAGACTTGATGAGGATGGAATGAGATTTACTATTTTCATCATATTAATTGTTTATTTCATTTCAGCACTCAGTTTGCTGCACAGAAAACTCTAATGGATAAGACATTGCAGCGATTGCATCTGAGATGTGATTGCAGATAGTCGGGCTGTCACACCCTGGTGTTTACCTAAAACTGATGGGCACCCTCTGTTACCAATGAACACATTTTTATTCAAATCTAGTCCATTTTCTGTGAAAAATGACCAATCATGTCAGAAATAACTTCTCCAGTGGTGAAATTTTCTAAGGCTGTTAAAGCTAGCAGTTCTTCACAAAAAACATATTTTCCATTTAAAAAACGCACATATAAACATCAATGACTGAGCCACGTCTATGATGTCTGTAGATTCGCGAATGGCAACTGAGAAAAATTATGCCTGCTTTATGTTTTCAAAAAAAGATTCAAAAACTTCAGTTCCTAAAATTCCATTCTGCGTATCGTCGAAATATCCGACACATGGATTTGATGAACTGCATGTGTTACGCTTGTTTTTATTTTATCATTAACTGCTATTTTGTCCAGAATCATCAGTATGCATTCTTTCAAGGTTTCCAAATCAGTGAAAGATTGTTCCTTTTTGGATAATTTTCAACAAACATGCAATGAAGCTGGTGTAGTTTTTCTTGCTGAGTACACCATAATTCTGCTGCTATGCTGATAAGCAACAATTGACGATTCAACCTTTGATTCTCTAGCAGTCATAACTTTTAGATATGATTTTACTAAATCTGCATGTTTCGTTGTAAAGTACCACATCATGTTGTACTCCTTTACTGTCGACACATATTAATTGTACAGCAAGGTTTTGAATTAAGCATAGTCGGTGATATAAAAAAATATTTCAGTGTCCAGTCATTTCTGAATGCACAATTTTCACATTCCCACTTTGCTATCTTACTAGTACTAGCATCAAACACTGAACTAAATTATTAAAATGAAGATAATTTAAAACACTGTCACTATTTCAGTTTGTTAGTATACATTCGGGTCCGGCAATCTATGTCTGGTTGTGACTTATGTTTGACTGAATGTTTAACGAAAATCTGATTATAATCGGATAACAAAATCACTAGCAGGTAATCTACTGTGTCACTAATGTTCTGCAGCACTCAACGTCATTAGTCTGCGCCTTTAAGGTTTAAACATTGGATCAATTCTCATGACACATTAGTGGTAGCCCGTACTACTTCTAAGTTAAGTCTGAGTCCGAAGAATCTCAGCGCAGTATACAAAATCTGAAGCACCGGCAAGGATCCTGAAATACTTTGGGCAGATTCTCAACTCCAAATGTTGGTAGGCAGCGCCATTGGCTACTCTTTTTTTAAATTTCCAAGAGATTTTTTTTTTTACATGCGCAACAATACACACGGGCATCCAATCTTACTAACCAGAGACCAGGGGAGATTACTAAAGTCCGTGTAAAAAAATTAAAGTCTTCACTGGGGCCTGAACCTGGGACCTTCAGCACTCGAGGCGAACGCCACACCTTGAGACCACACAGCCCCCATGTAGTCTGTGTGCACTAGTGGTCACCATTTCGGAGAGTTTCTCATTAATCTAAACGCTAACTATCTAGACCATGCTGGTATTTTCAAACGCCCTCCTGATAATAAATATGTATCTCACCTTCATTGACTCTTGTAGAGCTGTTGTTTTCCTACTCATTACTTGATTCTTTCTATCTTATCTTAAAACCTCTGGCCCCCAACAGGCGGGTTTTGCTAAACTACTGTAACTACCTTTACCCCGAGCTAATAACATTTCCAGGCATTAGACATATCCAGCAGTTTTGTATTTTCAAGTCCTATGATGGTCAGGGTTCCCTTGTATCTCTGCTTTTACAGATTACTGATAAACATTTCCCATTGACACATTCATTACAAGTGGTTTGTGATGATTCATACAGAACACACTGACTGATTTTATTATTATCATTATCATTTTCTTTTTAATAACTACATTTCACTGTTTTGGCAGGGACACTTAACTAGGCCTGCGCAGGCCAGATTTGGCCCATGGACCAGCAGTTCAACAGCCCTGCCACACATAATGACAGAAGCAATACCATGCATGGACAGGAATATCCCTCCAGAAAGATTGACAACTCACAAGACAAACACCCAAACTTACTTGTTTAGATGTAAGTCTACCACAAATGATTTGCCAAATGCAAAGAACTGTGCTGTGATATTATCCAGATACTGACCCTGTCAGACGATAAAGTTAAGGTTCAATATACATAAGTGCTACATTACAAAACACAATCATTAGATTTGCCACATCACACAAAGACTTCTGAATGTATGTATCTCATGACAAATTTGTAAGTTTCCCCAGATTTAATAGGAGCTGTGTTAGCGCATTGACTAGACAATTGCTTCTCAGTCCAAAGGTTATTGGCTGAAATCTGAGCGGGGTGCGGATGTATTAAAAAAAATTATCTTTGCGCCTCAGTCGACCCAGGCATTGTTCAGGGAAGGTGGCGAGGAAAGGGGGGGGGGGGGGGGGGGGGTGTTTACATCGCCATCAATCTAGTGCAGATTGGTCTATAAAAACTATGGGTCTTGCTTGATGACAAAATATGGGCATGACACATCAAAAGAGTCCTGATAAAAATTCTTCCTTTCTACCTTTATTTACCATGGCAGCACAGGCTCCCAACAAATTCTTGTCATTACATCCTATGTTCTGCTATCTTATGTAGCTACCTTTATACGTTCCACATTATATATTCTGCTGTTTGTAACTCTCTTTTACATGTGCATTTAGGTCTCTCTATATCTCTTTAAGGAAGCCAAGGAAGTGCAGTGGCTAGACTCACCTGATGATACGAAGATGTTGGGTTAGAATCTGCTCTGCTCTTTTTTCTTTCAAAATTGCCCTTGTTATCGTGATCAACCTAGCCTAAAAGGATACCAGGTAATGTCCTGGGAAGTAAAGACGGCTGGTGTGATGCTGATCACATGACCCATCAACTGCTATATGGTCTATAAAATATGGGTCTAGCATCATATACCCAATGTACAAACTGGTGGAAAAAAACGGATCATTACTATTTTGGTTTATATCTCTTTTTTTCCTGTCAGTTCTAGGGACAAGATATTGTACTTTTACTAATATCAGGTTTTCTCAGTATAAAATTATCCAGCACCAGGGTCATTCTATCGCCTGTTGATAATACAGATTAAGGTTAGTTGTGTATCCTTTACAGGATGTTGACCAACCAACATCAGCATTTTAGGGCTGCTGTGGTTTTTCTAGTCAAATGTTACATTAAGTAGTTTGTCATTGCCTTCTAAAGGGTCAGTGCACAGTACCACTGTCGAAACCAACGCAAGACAAAACGTCCACAGCTGGAGTCGAACCTGGCACCAATTCGCAACGCCTAAGCCACAGATGCCGATGATTTGGATTAAGGGTTAATTATTTAAAGCTTTATTTTAAAACCTGACGTCAGAATGATTTGGAGGAATCAAATGCCAGCACTGTGGAATCAAATGTCAGCACTATGTAGCAAATAAACAGCACAATAGGATGACTGTGGAAAAATGATGTTGTGTTACTCATTTACACATGATTTTGAATGACATATCTGAAAACACTGACAGTCATAAAAACAGGTGGAACATGGCTTACCATGTAAACAACAGGGTGAAAAAAATATCCATGAGAACCATAAAATACAAAACACACAAGGTAAGAGATAGACAAGGTGAGATAAAATGTTTAGACCATTAGAATGCACAATAGATGATTAATTCCCCTCACCACTGTCGAAAACAACGCAAGACAAATTGTCTGCAGAGGGGATCAAACCAGGCACTCTGGCATTACAAAGCATATAGACTCAGTTCTCTGCAGATGTGAATAAAATGCCCCAGCTAGTCATGCAGATCAGCTGGTTTATGAGCTTAGAGAGGGGAAGAAGCTTGGTTTTGGAACTTCTCATCTGCCTAAGTGTAGCAGAGCACAATCAAGTCATGATTTAGCACAGTAAATACAGACTAGCTTATCATCTTTTGGATATTTTCTCCAGGGCAGGCAGTTGTGCTGGGAAACGCATTAGCAGACAGACTGGCTGGTTCTGCAAAACTCAGTGGTAATTTTATACTAGACAAGCTAGACGAAAGGAAGATGGCACCATCCAACGATCAGTATATGTATATAAGAAAGATACTTGGACGGGCCAGTACATGAACTTTAAATGTTTTGCACCCATCCAGTACAAACGTGGCCTAGAACGAACATTTTTCAACCGCACTAGAAAGATTTGTTCTAGCGATAAGCTACAGACTGAACTAGAAACCCTCAAACAAACTACTACAGAAATGTCAGTCCCCAAACAACAAGTCTACATACATCCAACCTTTCGAGAGGATAATGTTATGAAACGGCTATACGACAGACTAAAAACAGCAGTCAGCCAAACTTTATACGCAGCTTTGCCAATTATCAGGTTTAAAACTACCCCCGTGCCAACGCCCTCGGTGAAACAACCAGTGTCGACATACGCCAAATCAAATTGTATCTACCAATTTAAATGTAGCCATGAAGCTGCTTATGTGGGCAGACCTGATCGACGCCTAGATTAATGAGTCGCTGAGCACATTCTAGAATGGGTGGAAAAGCCATGCAAAATAATATTTAAAATGAGAATACTGGCCACAAAGATCACCCTTCTGCAATGGAACACCATCTTCTAAAATCTGGACTCGTGGTGACTAAGGAGAACTCATTTCAAATCTTTCATATGTCAACCAATGGCAGAACGCTAAGATTTCTCAAAGCTTCCATGATTCATCACCTGCGCCAGGAACTATGTATTCAGAAAGAGATGGTTCTGTCTTTACAGCTGCCCTGGTAAAAACAGGCAGTCATGTTTGATCGTTGTTGAAATTGTACTTCAGTAAAAAAGGATTCACTTATCTGCTTCATTTATGTAATTGTTACTGTAGTATGCACCTGAGAGATAACAGCAAAATATGCCAGGCAATAAAGTGTGCAATCTATTGTTTGTGTCTTCTTTGTTCAAATTTACAAGGGGGAAACACTGCTTTGAAACTAGATGTTGTCAAGGCCATTTGGGAGCAAGCTAACAGTGTGCAAACACAATCAGATTATAATGGCCTAAAGAGAATGGTGCAACAGGGAGTGACAAGGTGATTTGGCCGACATTGCACACTGAGAGGTCAGGCAAAATGGGCATACAATCAGACTGCCACTGGTGCCATTGGTGTTGGAACTCTTCTCTGGCTGCTGAAGATGGGGATAGAGCATTTACCGAAATGTCCTGAACGATGTAGGTTCTTGAAACTCTATTCATTTCAACTCAACACAAATACAGACTGGCTGGGATTATGTTTATACTGTTTCTTCTACATCTTTTAAGAACATAAAACCAGTCTGTATGCCCTCTTTCTCTCTCCTACACACTCAACTTTTTACATGTCTTCAAACAGATGTAGAATCACTGATGATATGAACCAAGTGCTGAAGCTAGGAGCATAATTAAGAGGTTCCCAAAGAGCAGTTAAGTGGGCAAGCTAGGCACAAGTACACTTGTTTCCTAGTAATGCAATTATAAAGCACCAACATGGCACACGAGTGGTCAGGGAGAGATCGGGTTTCCCCACTTGGCCAACAAGCAGTGATACTCTAGATAGTTTCCATCATTACCCAGTATTCCCACAAACAGAAATAAACTGACACTAGGTAAGCTGCAGATTTGTGGTTTTATAGACAAATGATTAGAAAACACTGGGACCCCCCCCCCCCCCCCCCCCCACACACACTCAAAAGTTACAAAGATGTTTTAAAAGAAACTGACTCATGAAGAGAATATACTGCCACAACAGAAGGAGATAATCTACATTCTTTGATCACGTCATGAGAAGGAAATATCTGTAGTAGATCTTGACAATTTGAAAGCTGGAGGGGAAGAGAGGCAGATGGTGAAAGAGAGAGAGAAGATACTGTACAGTCTGATATCATGGCATGGAGGATCATCTGTGTCAGAGTTGACTGAAGGTGGGGATAGACATGATCACCAGTGCCACAGGGTATGGACTTTAGGAATAAGACATGTCACTGAAAGAACGTGCCTTCTGTTAAGCTATGTTAGACTATTATAAATACAGTGGCTTCCTGTTTGGATTCCAGGGCCTCATGTGAGATGGGCGGGTTTACCCTCTGTTCCTCGACCAGCATGTCATAAAATGTGACTAGTTAAATGTTGGTTAGCAGTGGATGTTGGGCTGAAAGGTACATTTATCACAGTTCGACTGTAAACCACAACACAATGTGTCAACTGTCCTTTTAACTATTTCTGTCCCTAACTCATAAGGACTCTCAAGAACGCTGAAAACATATCTGTTTCTTGCTAAGGTTGTTTATCTGGCCCCCTCTAGAAGTAGTATAGCCATGAGTTTAGTAATGCCATTCCTAACTCACTTTGATATTAGCTAGAAATTTATGGGACTGAAAGAGTTAAGAGTGAAGATGAAAGAAGAAGAATACAATGGCTACATAATTAACACAATGGAGACTGTTCTATGAAAATCAGAACAAAATGACCAAATAAATGCAGAGGTTAAACAGATAAAAGCCAGGATCAAAAAATAAAAATATTATTCTAGCAGATCTTAAAATCAATGAAAACTGGTTCATAAGCAGCAGTGTCTCATAATCAGGTGATATTAAAAGCCAGGGTAATGCAAAAAGAACAGTAAAAAGGTATTATTTCTGACTGACATAGCAGGGGCCGTAGTTTCAATCCTGGGGGTTGATTTTCTTCTGAACAATTAGGAGGCTCGAGGGTTAATCCAGCTTAAAAAAAAAAAAATTGAAACCAGACAATTTTGTGAACTGTTTAGGAAGAAAGGCAGCATTTTACAAAATGAAGAATATTCTATGCAATCTTTCTTTGTCAACTGAGACGAGAGAAAGAACTTTCAAGAGCTATATAAATCCTCTACTGACATTTGTAAGCAAATCATGGACAGTTGTAGTGAGAAAGTTCGAGATTAAAACAGGCACAGAGATACCTGGAGAGAAGCTGCTAGACAGTCTGATATGATGGCAGTGAAGATCATCTGTGTCAGAAGTGACTGAAAGCACATGAGACAGAAGGTTCTGGACAGACATGAATATGACTACCAATGCAAGACAGCACAGTCTTTAAGAAGTTTAGAAAAAAAAGGCAATATGGAAGGGAGCAGGTCACCCTTCTTGAAATGTTGCAGCTAGAGTATGTATACAATTCACATTCTAATGACACACTTTGTGGGTGTGCATGTGGGTGTGCATATGCATGTGTGTTTGTGTGTTACTGCATACATCAGTTAAGAAAATCCTATGGTTCAGAGCCAAAAATTAAAAAAAAAGAATAAGCAGTATGAAGAATCACAATATACAAGTTCATACCTCTTTATCCAGTATACTATGGACCTTGTGTCCTCCATAATAATAGGTCACAAGGCAATCAAAGTGGCGGTAGAAAAAGGAGATTCCCTTAAATTTTCCTGTTTCTTCATAGTGACCTGGAAAAAATATGCGGAATTAATAGTAACTGAAAAATAAATGACAAAAACTGATAACCTGATATTTGTGAAATACTGTAACAAATACTGAATCTTTCTGCTGCTTCTTCAGCAATCCCAAAATTTAGTTCATTTGTGCAGAAATCAGCCACCTCCTTTTATGTATGTGTGTTTAAGCGAGTGGATGAGCTTGTGTATGTGGGTGTGTGTACACGTGCGGGTTTTTGCATGCATTTTACAACCCATCTTTTTGTGTTCTCTTGTGATATTCATTAATATAAATTACATCATATGATCATAACATGCTTTATTAGTAAAATACAACTGCTGTGCGAAAGATGGGTGATTGGAAGGAGCGAATGGAAGAGGGGCCTGTGTGCCAATTTGTGATCCTTTGAAAAAAAAGTTTGTTCCTTCATTTTAGAAATTGTTTTCCCTTTCCAGTTGGTGATTCTAAGTGTTTGTAAGTCTTCTTATCTCCCCAGAACCTTGAACCTCTTGGTTTGCAATGTCATATTTACTCTTTAGTTTAGGTAAATAACAAAACAGAAAAATGCTGATCAAATTTCATGCCAACTAGAATCTGTTGATGTACAGCCAAGGATTTTTTTTTTAATGTGACTGGATAAAAAATGGAGGCAGCCAATCATTTTTTTTTTCATGTTAAGAGAAGACAAAACTGTGAAACTCCATGACAACTGGCAAATTAGATCGGGAAAGAGAAAAGAGGGGAAGTCAGAGAGATGAATCTGGTGTGGCTATCTGACATAACTGAGACAAGAAGACAGCCTTGATCTGAAAGCCAATTCTAGTCAATGCATGACTACCTACAATGGTACATCGTGATGATTATTAGTGAAATATAGTTATAAACACCAATCCAATAACATAGACAGGCCCACTATGAAGAAAGCAAGTTATATTTCTTTTCTTCCTCACATTCACCGGCTATAAACTCCAGCAGTATTCATTTACCAAATTCACACATGTGGATATTTTTCTGAGACACCTCAGTTAAGTGATTGTTTTGTTTTTGTTTTTTTTAATTCTCATTTTTGACTGTAACACTGTCTATACATCTCACGAGCTGATGAAGGCTTTCTGGCCGCAAAGTTCACATGTCATTTGCAGTTGTTATAATCTTCTTCTTCTTCGCATTTGCTGGCTGTAAACTTGGGCGAAAAGTTCTGGCTGTTTGTCTACCTCTGGACGTTTGTCTTGTTCCAGAACCTGAGTGTTGTGTGCACATTCATTTTTCAGATCTGACTTATTTGTATGCAGATTGTTGGTTCCTTGCCTCTCAGGCAGATGGACTCCAACTTCAAAGGAAGCCCCCTGTTAGTTGACTCCTATGACATGCTTGTTGGGAAGGCAGTAGGTCTATTCTTGTTTTTCCCACAATGGAATCCCGGAACCCCCACAGGGAGTTCTGATAATGTAAAGCTGATCTGTTCTATTTTTTATATGTTTTGATATCTTTTTATGGAACATTTTAGGTTTTTTGCCCAAAAGAAACTGTGGTTGACCTTTCAATCATGCTTGCTGACCTGTCACAAATGCTAGTCTATGTTACAAGGGTGTCCTGTTGTGTTGTTTTCGCAAAGCTTTCTACACTGTGTTTTACTCATTGTTGTGAGTGGTAGGCGACACTATGTATATTTTAGCTTTTTTCAAACTTCAAGCAGGGCATGAAATTACTTCAGTTGTCAGTGTTGATGAGCGATGAGGATAGCAGCGCTGCTTTCTTGCAGCAAGGCGGCCTTTTGGGGTGCACCGGAAAATGTTCACAATTCTGAAACAATGGGACGTAGGTTGCGCTCTCTTGTGGGACATATGCTGAAGCTATGGGGTAGGGGGATTGGGGCTAGGGCAAGTTCTAGATGATGTGAGGTTGTTACTGCGGTGAGAGTGTGTAATATAGAACACAGAATATCGCCGGTGATAGCATCGAAGAAAAAAGAACGTGACACAGGGCATAGGATGTACCCTCTAGGGTGGTGAGGTTAGGGCCAGTTCTAGGTTTTCTGTAAAAGCGGTCACATCATGCAATATAGAATACACAACATTTCCGGTGATAGCATCAGAGACAATACAACTTGACGCCCCTGTAACTACTAGTCCATGTGACAAGTCAGCAAGCATGAATCCCTGTTTGTTTGGTGCAGAAAACGTAATAAGCACCCTTTCCATATTTTCTCAGTGCATGTGTCAAGCAATGTGAGATGTGTCGCATAACAGGAGTGGAAATGTTTAACACTGTGCAGATGCTACATAAGTATGAGCTAATTAGAAAACAGTAGTGCACTGACTAGATGCTTGCCTGCTAAGCCGAGTCTCAAGTTTAAACATGATTCACTACTAGGATGCTAATAATTCAACATATGGACTAACTGGGATTAAGTTATACTGTTATAACAAAAGTATTTTTGGAATATGGTTGCTCTAAAAGGCATATTCTTATAAAGAACCATAATGAAGGAAAAGGTGAAGGCAATGAGCAAGAGGTAGACATCTTTACAAGTGGGAGGATAACACATAGAAATGAACTAACAACAGTATTAGAGAGTGCGGCTATCCTCCGAATAAGGGGCACAAAAGATGGCGGCCACAAAAACACCCTAACAGAGCCTCAGTCATGTGTTAATTGCGCACTTCCGGCGACCTACTTTGCGATTTTCTGGCGACAGCCGCCACCGTCGAGAGTATCCCCCACGCTGCGTGAGCGGCGTGGATTGGGGCTAAACTAGATGCAATTGACACGTGACTGAGGCCCTGTTTTTGGCCGCCGTCTTTTGTGCCCGTTATTCGGTGGATAGCCAAGAGTGCACAACCAGGGCTTCTCTGTGCCTGTCTTCAATATCTTTCATTCTCTTACAAATATATTCACAATTTAGAAAAAGAATCAGCAACATTTCTAAGATTTTGTTAGGTTTTTATACTGCACTGACTGGCGTCAAAGATAACAGAAAAATCACACTGTTTTCATAAACAAATGTGCTTTCGTCAGTTGCATTCCTTCTGAGATTTCTATAGCAGGTGTTACTGTTTGACCAAAGTGATTGCCAGTCTAACAGGAACTAATTCCAGATACCTCATTTAATCTCCCAAGATAGTATTATAACTGGGAATCTTGTGGCTAAACCAAGCAGTACCTAGATGTAGCCTACTGTGCTATGTGGATAAGGGATTACCTTTAAATGTTTACTGTATTCAGTAGATTGTGTAGCTACTGTAAATGAACTTGTATCAATTAAATATACATATCTAAGTTTTGGGCTATCCTTCGAATAACGGTCCCAAATTATCGGGGCTGAAAATATACCCTAACACTAACAGGGCCTCAGTCACATGTGAATTATGGACTTCCGGCGACTACCACCACCGCGTGTGGCGGCGTGGGAGATTATCTTGGCGGTGGCCGTTATTCGAAGGATAGCCCAAATCTTAGATATGAATACAGTAAACATTTAAAGGTAATCCCTCATCCACATAGCACAGTAGGCTACATCTAGGTACTGCTTGGTTTAGCCACAAGATTCCCAATTATAATACCATCTTAGGAGATTGAATGAGGTATCTGGAATTAGTTCCTGTTAGAGTTAGACTGGCAATCATATAATTCTTACATTTATTCATATTACATTTATTTATATCTGAAAAATTACAGTCATTTGTATTGTGCACAATATTTATTGGATAAAATTAAAACATCATTAGTTTATTCATTTAGTTTGGTGTGCACTCATGAAAATTTCAGAATTAATTAATACTATTATTACTAAACTTTTTAAATTAGCCGAATCAATGCTGTTATTTTAAATTAATCTTTATAATAAATGTGACTGATAACTTGATTCTAGATCATAGGAAACGATTTTAAAATTGTTTTAATGTGACACACCCATAATCGTGCATAAGGTATTATTTTTATATATATACATTTTATAAACATAGCTAATTGCTAATAAAATTGTACGATTAGACTAGTTCGCCTTAAAAAATGCATTTCGGGTTACTTCTCGGCGGTTCCCCCCCCCCCCCTTTTTCAGTTAGAATGTGCTTTAATGAATAAACAGCTTTATTTTATAAACAGGCTATCAAAATGAATCATCTTAACGTGACCTCGATTCCCATCCTCTGTTACTAGCACTCAGTCGGGACTACATACAAAGGAGAACGACGGTACTCACACACGACTAAATAACCCGTTCTCGCTTCATCGACACCTCGTTATTTCCTCGTTCTAAACACACTTTTAACGAGACGGATAAATTCAAATACATGTCCATTGGTTACCTTTAGCACAGTTGAGGGAATCAAAGAATATAATTATACACAACAGGGGTAATTTTCCGAACAGCCATTCCAAATGTTGTCCCATCTCTCACACCGCCCCATTACTGGGCTGAGCAGACGTTGATTCTGCGCATCTGACGGCACCGACCGAACAACCATCAAACTGTCGCTGCTTTCACGGATTGGTCCGGACCAATAACGCCAGCAGATATTTCATGAATAGTTTCCCCTTCTCTGTCTGGAATCAAACTGTTATTTTATTTATGAAATGTACACAAAATTAAAAAGTAAAAAGTAAAAGTTGCATTAAAAAAGAAATCCTCTAGTCGAAAATGATAAACGCTATGTATTTACTATAATCCCGAATGGTTCATCAAGAAATTTTTGGTACAAATTAGGGCTATACCGAATATTCGCTTCGTATTCGCTTCGGGGCCGAATAGTGGACTTAACTAATAACTATTCGGTATTCGGCCGAATAGTTGCGGTCGGGCCGAATACGAATAGTGGTTACCTTACACCCGTTCCTGGACTGGTAGAAATTAAACATATCAAGATTTCCCACCTTGGTTCATACTGTCCAGCGTTATCTCTGTGCACCACCTACGAGCGTACCAAGTGAACGTCTGTTTAGTACAGCTGGAAATACCTTCAGTGAAACAAGAAGCTGCCTTAATGCTGACGACATGGAACGGTTTTTGTGTTTGTGGAAAGCTAATGCCGCTTTCATGGATTAATTAAGCTGTCAGTGACAATTTACAAGTTTAGTTACTTGTTATAAAACTAAGAATACTTTCACTCCTATGTATTAGTTACCACAGACTGACTGACTGAAGAATGCAAAACATGAAATGTATTTAAATGTTTACTATTCTGTACTACATTTTGTGAAGTAAAATGTCAGCATACATTTGACATTATGGATGTTTTCTTTTTAGATCTATTTTTATACATGTGTCCGGTAAACCAAACGTAAGCTTGTCGCTCGGTCGTCCAGGCACGCTGACTGTTCTAATTAGGCTGCCGCAACGACTTCTTATCTCACAGTACCTTCTGCGAAACCACCAAGTCGTCTTGTCCCTATCCGAAAGAAAAACACCATCCGGTAATCTCGTGCAGCAGGGTACCAGCCCTGAGCTTCATGAACTCAGGTGGGCCCACCTCCGAAAGCGTCTAGGAATCGTGGGCCGAAACGCTCGTTGACGAGGATAATTTCTACTGACGACTGGTAGATCCCTGCTGTACTTGCTCCCTGTGAGTTTATTCCTATTGTACGTGGCTAGCCCACAAGACTACCAGGAAAGACTGGTGACTATCGGGAAAGTCCTTTTGACACCTACGGAAAGACTGGCCCCCCGGTATCGCCGGGGGGATAAACTGACATCTGGAGACAGATGTCGACTGTGGACCGGGTTGATCACCCCTAACACAGTATAATACCTCCGATTTCGTACAACCACATAGAAATATGCCCCCAGGGCCCTCCGAAAGGGAGGGGGGGGGGAGAATGAAGGGCCCAATCAATTTGATACTCTCGGTGACGACTATGCTAGCCCCCGGACTCAGATACTCGCCCAACGTCCGGGCTGGCTCTGTACATGTGGAAAGAGCTTCACGGGGTTGCATGGTCTGAGAACGCATGCCGGAAGAATGAAATGCGAGGGTGCTCCACGCAGTAAACGCCATCGCAAAACTATTACTCCTGTGGTAGTTTCTGAGTCGTCAGGGAACGACGGGCAGGGTGAACCCCACTCGCCCGGAGAGGCCCATGACGTCGACTGCGGAGGAGCAGATTTGATGATTTCTGAGGAAGTGCGTTCAAAGATCAGGTTTCCACCTGCGAGCGATAAGGTGGTGTGGTGTAAGTTGGAGGCTACATTATGTGAGGTACTTAAGCAAGATCTAAACAAGAAGTCGTTAGGCGACAAGCTTACGAAATTTGGTGATGTTATATATGAACACTGCTCCCGCGAGTTCGGGACAGTGCAGAAGGCACAGCCGGGTGCCAAGCAGAATACTAGCAGGAGGCAGAGGGACATTCTGAAGTGTCGGGCAGACAAGAATGCCCTCAGAAAATGGTTCAAAGCCGCTACAGGCAGCGAACGGGAGGGGCTGTATGAAGTCTGGTTGCATTTAAAGAACAGACACAGTGCCCTCTGTCGCGCCGAGCGTTTCTGTAACAACAGACGTAGAACCAAAAGGGAGCGAGAGAAATTCTTTAGGGACCCGTATCAGTTTGCTCGAGGTCTAATCGAGCAACCGAAGTCTGGGACTCTGGTTGTCAGTCAGGAAGAACTTGAGTTACATCTACGCAAGATGTACTCTGACAAAAAGAGGAGAGAGCCTCTCGATGACAATCCAGAGATCCTTAGCGGCCTCAAACAGCCTTCGGTGCCGAAAGTAACATTTAAAATGATACCTCCCCTTTGGTCTGAGGCTGAAGAAGTTGTTAAAAAGGCCGGCGGCAAGTCTGCCCCAGGTCTGAACGGTGTCCCGTACGTTTTTTTACAAGCGCTGCCCGAAAATCCTAAAAATGCTTCACGTCTTGTTGAGACAAGCGTGGATCCGCAATCACATATGTCCAGAGTGGTCAAAGGCAAATGGGGTCTACATTCCCAAAGAGCAAGACTCGAAGAGTCTTTCCCAATTCAGGCCCATCTCGCTGTTGAATGTCGAGGGTAAGATATTCTTCTCGGTCATGGCTCGCCGGCTCACACAGTATCTGATGGCTAACAAGTACATCGATACGAGTGTTCAGAAAGGTGGTATTCCATGCGTTCCTGGGTGCCTTGAACACCCGACCATGATTTGGGAGGCTATCCAGAGAGCCAAGCATGAGAGAACACAATTGCACGTAATATGGTTGGACTTAGCCAACGACTACGGGACAGTCCCCCATAGGCTACTGTGGCGAGCCCTTCGCACGTTTCACGTTTCACGTACCGGCACAGATCAATCAAATGATAGAGCAATATTTCTCTAAGTTCGCTTTGCGCTTCTCTACCTCAATTGGTGGTCAAAGGCCTCAGTCAAAGAGCGCCGAGACATGGTAATACAAACGGTGAGGGACAACGAAAACGAGGTTCGGGTCCAGAAAGCAGCCCAGCAGTCGCAGCAGGGCCATTGGGTCAGCCTGGAGAGCGCATAGCCAAGAGTACTCACATGGGGTGAGATCTGGCGAATGACCCCGCTGCGACTGAGCGATGTATTACAGTCCGGTGTTAATATGGTTAAATGGTCTGCGACTAACGATCCGACTTGCCCGTTGTGCAAAGCGAAGCAAACTCTTGAGCACGTCCTGTCCGCGTGCAGGAAAGCCCTAGGTGAAGACCGATACACCTGGCGACACAACAAGGTGCTAAAAGAGTTAGCAGCCGTTGTTGACCATGCTAGAATGAGGGCCAACGCAAGGGCCAGTTCTAGCATCGTCCCCATTCGTTTCCTCAAGGCTGGGCAGGTTCAAAAAGGTAAGGTCAACCGAAACGCATTCGCTACATCTGTGCTAGACTCTGCGAGGGACTGGTTACTGGCGGTTGATCTGCCAGGCCATGAACGGTACCCCGAGTTAATCCGGAAGACCGGTCTGCGACCTGACATAGTCCTCCACTCTGCGGAGAAACGGCATCTCATCCTGATAGAGCTCACCCTCCCGTATGAGTCGCGTATGGATGAAAATCACATGTATAAGCTCGAGAAATACAGTGATTTAGCAGCCGGTCTGAGGAGAAACGAGGCGTACACGGTACGGGTATTTGCCGTCGAAGTGGGAGCGAGAGGCCTCGTTTCCACTTCGCTCTACAATGTGGTGAAAGAACTAGGATTGCGCGGTAATGAACGGAAACGAACACTCAAAAAACTGGGAGAGGTAGCCGAAAGGGCCTCTAGCTGTCTTTGGACGCAACGCAACAACGTAGGGGACGGGCCTCGGTGAGCTGGTCCGGGTCTCTAGAGGAAAAGGGTTTCTCACCCTTTGAAAGTCCATCGTGTCCGAATTGTCTGCCCGAGTTTTCCTCTGCCACCTGCTAACAAAAGTCCAACATGTGTCCGGTAAACCAAACGTAAGCTTGTCGCTCGGTCGTCCAGGCACGCTGACTGTTCTAATTAGGCTGCCGCAACGACTTCTTATCTCACAGTACCTTCTGCGAAACCACCAAGTCGTCTTGTCCCTATCCGAAAGAAAAACACCATCCGGTAATCTCGTGCAGCAGGGTACCAACCCTGAGCTTCATGAACTCAGGTGGGCCCACCTCCTCTAGGAATCGTGGGCCGAAACGCTCGTCGACGAGGATAATTTCTACTGACGACTGGTAGATCCCTGCTGTACTTGCTCCCTGTGAGTTTATTCCTCGGTGTGAATGGTGGGAAGACAGAAGTAATGGTGGTATCAAAGAAAATAATTACTCCTAAATGTGCAATTAAAGGTCAATGATTTTATTTTGGGACAAGTACGGAAATTTAAGTATCTGGGCACATGGATACCATTAGATGGAAGATGCATTACTAAAATAAGAAACAGAATAGGACAGGCAAAAACTGCATTTTATAAAATTAAGAACATCTTATGCAATATATCTTTGTCATTAAATGTTAGAAAAATAACATTCTTGCTCGCTACATACATCCAGTTTTAACATATGGCTGTAAGTCCTGGACAATCGGTAGGCAGGCCAAACAATTTCTTGAAGCCTCAGAGATATGGTATTACAGAACAATGCTTAAAATACCCTGGATAGTGAACGAACATCGAACTGAGGCGAGCGGTGCTTACTACAAGAAGGCTGGTAAACCAGCAATGAACTGGGGCGAGCGGTGCTCACTACAAGAAGACTGGTGAACGAACATCGAACTGGGGCGAGCGGTGCTCACTACAAGAAGACTAGTGAACGAACATCGAACTATGGCGAGCGGTGCTTACTACAAGAAGACTGGTGAACGAACATCGAACTGGGGCGAGCGGTGCTCACTACAAGAAGACTAGTGAACGAGCATCAGACTGGGGGGAGCGGTGCTTACTACAAGAAGGTTGGTAAACCAGCAATGCACTGGGTCGAGCAGTGCTCACTACATGAAGACGAGTGAATGAAC